CATACTCTCACCTGGCATCCCATTTGTTGGAACATTTTGTTCCTTGAAATTACCATATTAGAGAATCTCAAGCTCTAATTGGCTTCTCCCTGCCTACAACATAAGAAATAGGAAACCAATCAGACACATTTGAGTGAACTACTCCCCTCTCCCCACTACATATTCCCTCCACACCCTCATATCCATTCCCTTCCTACATCCACCTTGATATCTTCTACATCATGGACCAATCTTATTGTATGAAATAGAATTCAAATGTGTCCCTAGGTTGGAGCTGGATTGGAGTGATCAGAAACTGGTTATATATCCTGGGTATCAAGTCGGGAGGACAATGGTTGCTGAAACATTGATTGGCCTCCTCCTTCCACCGAAGCTTGAATATCATTGTAGCAAAGGCTTGAACTGTGAATATCCTATCCTCCCTGAAGATCTGAGCGTATTCTAAGAATCTGATCTAGATATATCCCTCCTTTCTTTCCTTTCCCTGCTCCTTATACCTGTGGGTATTTCAAGTTACACTATAACCCTTCTTCAGTGAGTTAAGATGCATCAATATGAAAGGCACATTGCTTTGACTTAAAAGTCACTCTAATTTTTTTTGCAAGACTCTTTCTATATCCTAGCAATAGACTGTAACATAGTGATATACTAAAAAAAAAACACGCAATTATTGTATTAGAAACTATTATGAAGGAGGGGTTTTTTTAATTCAAATGATTTCATGCATTCTTATCTTATTCACACTCTTCATCTTTAGTACTTTCATGGTAATTCTCTTAATAAATCAGTTCTAGGTAACACTTAAGCTTTATATAAGTCAGATTTGGTGGAATATTGCAGATGACATGGCTTTGAACTTCTTACATAGATATTCACCACCTGCCCAACAAACACACACACACACATATACACACACACACACATACACACACACACACAACACACACACACACACTTCTCTTTTAAAATTAGATTTATCTTTATAGGGGAAAAATTGAAAAATCTACAAAAATCATGAATTCTGTCTCTCAGGTACTGGTATGGTCAGTGTGGTGTAGTTTTACACTAGTACACCTTTTTTCCATTGAGATTCAAAAACATAACCTTTTAGTATGCTTGGATCATGAGTTGAAACTTGAAGCAATTTCAAAGGTCATTTAATCCAACTCCCTGATTTTAAAAATGAAAAAACCGAGGCCCCGAAATTATATCTGACTTCAGGTTGTAAGTAGCAGAGCCAGGAGTTGAATTCACGTTCTCTGAGTTCAAGTACTCTAAGTGATCTCTCTAACCTTGAACTCCTGAGCCACTCAATAGGCACTTAGGCAAACGTTCTGGAGTTCTTCAACTTTTCCTATGTATAGATCTCATTTTTTCTTAAATAAACTGTAAGCCATTTGAGACAAAGAACTTAGTCTGTTGCTTTTCTGTGTCACCCACAGCACCTAGCTCACATCTGGGTAGATGATTTGGCTCAATAAATATTTTCTAGATGAATGCCAAGACCACATTTTCTTAGGGTTTCCAGTCTAATAAAGTAAGAGCACCTATGGATAGGGTAATAGTCAAGGTTTGGTACTGTATGAAGTCAGTAGCTCCTATAAGAACTGTAGGCCCTGAATTAAAAGTACCCAAGAAGCATCTGCATTTTCATGAATTGGAACAAAAATAGATAAGTGGCCCATTAGTACTGAAGATATTTAGTTTGCAATTAAGATAAGACTAAATTAACCCTTTGAGCTAGAGGCCTTCAATCTATTCAGATGGAGTACAAGTTATTGAAGCTGGATTTCCTCCCTTAATTCATATACAATTTAGGGAGTTTTTGCTTTGAGCTCTGAAGCAGACAATTCCCTTCTGGTTTTTCTTATTAAAAACAGCACTTCTAAAAGCCCCTTTACTCCTGGCATCTCTGTGTAACACAGAAGGCCAAACAGGAGTTGTCATCTTAGTTGTTATAGCAACAAACAAAACATTGCAGATACACCATAAATGGCATTTTGTAAGCCTATTTCCAGGTCTGTAATCACTCATGATCATCTCTACCAGTGTTTAATTGGTGTTCAAACATAACCCTGCTTGTACCTGTGCTTCAGAAGCCTGGGGCCCCCCAGCAGGTCAATGGCTCTCACACTCCACATGAGGACAAAAATCTCCTACTTTCTCTGAGGCTTCCTGTAGCTTGTGACCTTCAAGTTCTCCCTTCATGATGGTTATTTCCAGCTGTAGCATTTCACCTAATCACCCTGCTCTAATTCCCCAAACCCTTTTAGTACTTCTTCTCAGGCAAGAATGGTTCAGATACTTCATCAAAGATGCAATCCAGGTGACTTAAATTTCTTATTCCTAAAAATCTGGTCTTCTTTAACTCCATCTTAATCACTCATTGAGGAGAGCACAATGTATATAACTCTTATTGAAGCAAGCTGACTGCTGACTTCAAGTTTTCAGATGCCATTTTGATCAAGCAATCAATCAACATTTATTAAAGGCCTACTAGGTGTTAGGCATTAGCTATACAAACACACCCTGCCCTCAAGGGCCTTGCATTCTATTGGGAGATAGAACATGTGCACAGATAACTAAATATAGTATCTGAACAATAAATATATTAGTGATAGTATGTGTGTGTTACAACTGGCAAAATTTTACATAGCATTCCTTAAAGTAGGAAGAATAAAGCTAAACATAGAGGTGAGTAAAGACTGTAATGTGAGTAGAAAGAAGGAACAGATGTGGAGGCAGTAGAATTGATAATACATAGTGGCAGAAAACATGAGTGGCTCTGCAGCATTGGAGACACAACTTACTTCTCCACACCTGGACCTTGGTGCTCTGTTTTCCCTCCATTGATGCCCCTCAATACGTATACCCTGGCCACATATGTCCCCCTTGTGTTTGTCTCTCATCTGTTATATCTATGTGCTCTTCCCAATAGTGATGCATGTATTTGTTGGAGAGCATGCCCCAGACTTATAGGGACAGGAATGTTCTGATGATACTTTATTAATGTACTATTTCATTAAATGCCTTTGCTTTTTATTAATTTTTATCTAGATAACAAATTTGATTGGCAAATGATTGGATATAATGGGTGAATGGGAATGAACACTTGAGCATGACTTCTTGGTTAAAAGGTTAGTAAGGCCCCGCAAGGAACAGAAGAAGTAAGAGAAAATGGAGGTCTAGAGGGAAAGATAAAAAAGGTTTAGTTTTAGACATGTGAAGTTGGAGATGTCGATGGGATATTCATGTAGAGATGTCTAGCTGACAGTTGGAGGCACATGACTGGAGTTCGGAAAATATCCAGTTGGATATGTAGACATGGGAGTCATCTGAATAGAAATAATAATTGAATCTCTGGGAGGCAGAAAAATAATCTAAACAGGTAAATAATAATACATCATTTGTAGAAATCATTCTTTAAAAAAACTTAAAATCATTAGAAATGGCTCTTATTTATAGTCAAAAAGAAAAAAAAATTGGGGAACATTTTGTTGTTTTTTCAACAGCTGTGACCGTCTTCATCCAGTTGCATCATTACACCACCCTTTTCTCAAATTGTACCACAAAAGGATCACTGTATTTTTTTTATTCACAGATTAATGTGTTCTTCACTTTCCTCCAACCTTTAGGTCCCTTGTTTTAATTCCTAGATTAATAATTTAATACAGGGATACCTAACCTGAGGTCAGTGAACTTTAATTTTTTTTTTAAGAAATGTATTTCAGTACAACTGATTCCCTTTGTAATCTTATGTATTTTATTTTATACATTTAAAACATCATTCTTAGAAGGGATTCAGTCTTCTATGGATTATCGAAGGAATGTAATACAAACAAAACCATTTAAGAATATTTGATCTAAACTAGCCCTTTCATTTTACAGAGGGGGAAACTGAGGCACAGGCACTTGCCCAAGGTCATATAGGTAGTATATTGCAGAGCACACACAAGCTGGGTTTCTCTCAGCCCAAAACACAGTACTCCTCCCCCTATACTACAGCTGCTTCTGGAGAACTGGGTTGCCACACAAGGTCTTTTAGAGCCGTCAAAAATCAGTGTTGATTTTATTCACAAGTGGGACACAAAAGGCCAAGATGGCCCCTAGCCCAATAAAGACACAAAGAAGTTGATGGAAAGAGCTAAGTTAAAACTGACTGTTACATCCTGCTAAATCTTTGTGGCCCATTGCCCCAACCACACTACTCTTAAAGAGTGATACCCAAGATTATATCAGAAAGAGAAAGATGCTTAGCTTCATCTGTTAAAAAAAATGCTCATACAAAATGTTCATTGTTTTGGTAATAAAGAGCATCACATTTTATCTTTTTTTCTTTTTTTTTTTTTAGTAACAAGCAGGACTTAGCTTGAAATGAGCCTTTGAGAGCTGCAGAAGAAGCCTTTCCAAACAAATCTTCTTCCAAATCTATAATTAAAACTGAAATATCAACTGTTTAAGAACTGAGACAATGTGTTGTTTCTGCTCAAGGGTTTTTCAGTGGATCTGCAATTTCTGCATATGTATTTCAGGATTTTCTTTGAATTATATATATTTGTAAAATAGCTTTGGAAAACGCCTGCTTTCCCACATGTACTATTCCTCACCACCTGGATTTCAAATTTGACTGAATTAAAATGAAACCACAAACTTCAAACCCTATTCTCCTTATTTAAGGTCAAAACTTATATTTCTCAAATTTCTCAAGGCTTCTACCATAACCTATAAGGACTTATTGTGGAATAGAGTCACTGATCTGGGATCCTTTAAGGTCACACTAGTTGACTGTGTGCTCTGGTGGATCCTGCCAAGATAGAAAAACTTAGGATGTTGCTAATACACCAAAGATCCACCTAGCTAAGTTCAGAGAAGTCTCTGTTGGAGAAGGCTGGCCACCAGGCTAGAAGTTCTTTAGCTCTACGATTTTATGACATTATCTACTAAGGTAAAGAAGTGCTGGAATTTGTAAAGAAGAAGTAATCATAATGATAAAATGTGATCATTTATTTATTCATTCATTCAACAAGTTTTTATTATCTTGGCACTTGAAGTATTTTATCATAAGTGTTGTGTCCATGCTGACAAAATAATGTGAAACATTCAAATTGCACAATGAAACTTTGACGCTGTTCTGTAAAGATTTTGGTTTTCTTCCAGAACCAAACCCAATCTTCATTTGTAGTTCACAAAATCAGCAATATTCATTTGCATCAATATCAAATTTAGAATTGCTTTAGTAATTTTTATTTTACATAATTTGCAATTATATGTTTAATTTTGTTCCTATTATTTAGTCCCCCAATTTAATTCCCTTTGCTGCTCATCCCCTGAAAATCAATGACTTCCTCTTTAAGAATTCTCTAGGAAGAAAAAAGAATGAGATAAAGGTAGGGACACGGCTACGGTGGAAATCATGTGCTGAACTAAATTTTTTAGAAGAGAACTATGTTACATGAATGGGGTGGGGGTGGGGAAGGGTAGAGTAAGAGTGAGGAAAAGAATGGGAAGTGAACATCTTGGGCCAAACTGATCAAAAAGATATTGTAGAAGATAGTGAGCAGAAATACAAAATAATGGTGTAATACATTGCCAAAAATGAACACATTGCTGCTCGTAAAATCCTCGGTCATGCCAAGTAATTTGGATCAGAGTAGATCACCTCATAAAATTTCCCAAGCTTGGTAAAGAGTGAATATGTTGTAATGGGAAAAAGAACATTGGACCATGAGCCAGGAGGTGTTGGTTCTAACTTGGACTCTAACACTTAAGAGCTAACCAGAGTGAATGTAATGACATTAACAAACCACTTAACATCTAAAGGCCTCGGTTTCCTCACCTATAAAATGTGGGCATGAATACTTATACTTCAAACCTTACAGGGTCATTGCAAGCAAAATTTTATATCAACCCTAAGTGTTATCTATATAAGTATGAATTGATGTATTATTTAATATGAGTAAGTTTTGGGGAGTTTAACCAGTACCACATGCCACTTGGAAAACTTCATAATAAATGAATCTTTTATAAGACTCATGAGAAACAAAAGCTGAGCTGCCTCATTTTTTTTAGGTATATTCAATAAATGTTCTGGGACATGAATAAGAGTATATAGTGTCACAAGGAGTTACTCACCTACTTTTTGAATTTCCAGAGACGTGTCAGCTTCCAAAATTTTGATCCTGGTCTGGCTTTGGCTGCTGGAATTGCAGCCCACCCTAAGGCAACCCCTTTTAGGAAACCCTGGTAAAATACCTGTGTCCCTCCCTTGTTAAACTTTCATGGAGCTTAACCCAGCGCTCTGCTTAATGATAACAAGGTGAGGTACTTAAAAAATAAAAAACATTATATCATGTGTAGGCACACTGAATACACATAACAAGGATGTTCCATTACTGAATGCAAGAGGCCTTCTGGGTGAATAATGATGTTTTATTTTAAAATCTTTTATGAAGATGTTCTAAACCAAGAAAAAGCTTTAAAAAAAATGCAATCCCATAAATGCCACTTGACAGAGTCCTTGGAAAATGTCATTTCTGAACAAAGCTGGATCTATGAAGATCAGGTCAAATGATTGATTTGCCAGTCATTTAATAAAGTGTGGTTCCCAGTAACTAACCTGAACAACAGTTTTAAAAACTGTGGAACACAACATACAAGAAGTAAGAGCAAGATAATTATTGGCATGGACCATAGTACAGTTAAAACTGATGAAAGCAAAGTCACAGCAATCCACAAAGACAGATATTTGCAAAGGACACAGTATCTATCATACAAAACCAACCAATGGTATAACTCATTTTCTGTCCAGCTGTAAACTCTGAAACAAATATTTGATATCTATACATCATTTTTTATCTTGGCAAAGGTAAAAAATATATAATGTATATATTGCAGAACTTCTGATTCACAGCAAATTAGCCAGTATTTCCTTTTCGTTTTTTGTCCTTGCTCCTCTGTTGCCGTGCTTTCTTTTTCCTCCAAGTTGGTCCATTGGCTGACAAATCACAAGCATTTCCAAGAACCGCTTCAGTCTCTATCAGTGTTCTGATCGGTAGGCAGGGAAAGTCTCTGTTTGATGAAGTTTCAGAGGACTTGAACCATCTTGTCCAAAAAGAATTAAACATGATGGTTAAAGTTAAAAATCAAGTTATGAAATCAGAGAGCCATAGACTAATAGACTAATATTAACAAATATTTATTAAACACCTACTATGGGTAGGTGCCAGGCACTGTGCTAAGCACTTTACAAATATTATTTTGTTTTATTCTCACAACAGCCCTGGGAGGTGGGTGATATTATTATCCACATTTTATAGATGAAGAAACTGAGACAGAAAGTTGTGGGGGGTTTTTTCTTAATTACTTGACCAGGGTCACATAGCTAGTAAGCATCTAAGGCCACATTTGAACTCAGGTCTTCCTGACTCAAAGTCCAGCATTCTCACCATTGCACTACCTCTGCCTCTAGAATTAGAGACACCTTTCAAAACAGATAGTCTAACAACACTCTTACAGGGTATGGACTTCATCATACAGGTGGGGATACTGAATCCCAAAAAGGAGAGTAATTGACCCAAAGTCACACAGCTAGGAAGTGATCAAGCAGGACTCGAACCTAGATATACGTACTCCAATCCTACCTTTCATTGTATTCTGTCCCATTGCAGTAACATAATCTGTCTACGGAAAGAGGGGGATTGCAGCAAGCACCCCAGATCTGGAGTCAGAGGGCTTGGTTTTAAATCCTATTTCTGCTAACATATTACTTGTACCAGAAGGCACTTTTTCTCTTTCACTCTGATGAGCCGTAAGATAAGTCATTTGGAGTAGAAGTCCCTTCTAGCTCTAAATCTTGTGATTCTGTTGCTTCATATTCTATCTCAAAGCTGTCAATCTTACAACTTACATGTGGATGTCTACCCATTCCATTTTATGTACTCACTGTCTATGGCTACAAAATTTCAAAAGAGTTCTTCCAGTCAACTAATCTATCAGGCATGATATAGACAAGACATAGGTTACATAAGTTCCATGTCACCGTGGAAAAAATTAAATAAAATACAAATCCCCATATTAACCAGCAGATGGCTCCCTATGACTAGAATTGTGGGGAGAATGCTGTGACCTCTCAATTTTTACTCAAGATAGAAACTTTCCTAAAAATTTCAATAATAATACTGGATATATATACATACACACATACATACATACATATCCATATACATGCATATACATAATCTCAGTAATGATATTTGTTATCTTGTATATGATATATAATAATTATATTCTATAGTATAACTTCCATAAAAATACTGGATAGGTAACTTCCTGTGCTATCCCTCAGGCTTGACATGGAAGCTAATCAGAAATATATCAACAAATATCACATAACCAGGATAAATGTCCTAAATGTCAAAGCAATGTTCTTCCAAACTCATCAATCAACATGGTCCTGGGCATTACCTTACCAATTTACTACTCTCCATGACTTTTTCTTCTTTGGTTGGGGTATGCATTAGAAGAACCATTTTGCCTATAATGTTCGGAGGAAGGACAGAGAATAGAGTAAATGTGTCTCATTCATGAGATATGCTCTCTCTGGTGTGATCCAAAAAACTTAGTGCGTATTTAAGCTCTAAAAACTCAAAGCTGTTAGAGACATTCTTGTATGTGCATGTTTCTGTGTGTCTGTGTGTAAGTAATATCCTGAATGAATGAATGTGGAATGAGTTGAGGCAGGGCCATATCCCGAGATAATTGCTACAGTACTTATTGAGCTAGGAAGACCTGGATTCAAATCCTGCCTGAGATATTTAATAGCTGTGTAACCCTGAGTAAATCACTTAATCTCTCTGAGCCTGTTTCCTCATTTCTAAAGTAGGGATAATAAAAGCACTTACCTCACAGAGCTGTTCAAAGAATCAAATGAGATAATTCCAGTAAAGCACTTTGCCAATCATAAAATACTACATTAATGCTAGCAATTATTTGTTATTGTTTTCATTTAGTCAGACTTTCAATGACTGTGGGAAAGAAGAGCAGGTAGGTTTTTTGTTTTTGTTTTCTTGCATCTTTTCTATTCTCTCAGAATGGCTGAATTACAGATTACAGAATCTAAAATCTTGAAAGAGCCTTAAAATTCATCTAGCTCAACTTCCTTGTTTTACAGACCAGAAAAATGATGAGCTAAGAGATTAAGTGACTTCACTCACTGATTCATTCAATAATTCTATTTCTTAATCTATAGAATAAAAAGATTGGACTAAATGATCTCTTCAAACCCTACAATTATATGACTCACATATTAGGAACTTAGCACTATGCAAAGTACTGTGTTAGTCAGTGTCAATGTATGTTAAACGAAGGAATATTAGTTCAACATTTCCATGATCACAAAGCTAGTCAATAGCAAGATCTAGATGAAGCAGAGAGAGTATTGATGCTGGCAAAACGAGGGATCCTCTGAACTCAGGTGTTGAAAGCTTATAACCTGTGTTAGCGTAAATTAATACTCTGTCTTTGCAGGTCACTTAACCTACCTGGGAGTCAGTTTCCTCACCTGTACAATGAAAGCATTGCACTTGATGGCCCATGACATCCCTTTTAGTTCTGAATCTATGATCCAACCTACTTTAAAGAAATCACATAACTTTTGAAATACTCAAGTATTGGAGAAGGAATTACTGTTCAGCAAGAAGGATCAAAGCTTAGGTAGAAAAGGAAGAATGAGGAGGGTAATTAAATTTAGCTGCTAGCACCTGGCTGGCAATTGAATTCTCATTTAAGAACTGGGACTGTTCCCATTAGGGTTCAGCACAAAAATACTCCTTGGCAATCAAGGCAGCTGCATGTTATGTTGCAAAATAAATGTGAAGCCCAACCATTACTAAATTATGAAGCTCCCCAAGAACCCTAAATAGGCAAAACATTGTCCAAACAAGCAATTTGCTAGCAGTGTTAGCCACAAGTAACCAACAATAATTAAAAGAGATCCTTTATGATGACCTGCGGAGAGAGTACAATGCCTATGTTTCTACCAATATCAGGTAAACCTACATATGTAAAAAGAGTACTAATCTTCATCCTACAGAAGGTGAAAGGATTAGAACATATTGCTATTCCCAAGGTTACAAAAATCAATGAACTCTTCCTTGAAAGGAGAGAAGAAAAGCTTTAGGAAGTAAACAAAGGAGAAAAAAAGGATAGGATAAGAAACAGAGTAATCCTAAATTGTATTGGGAAGCCAGACAACTAAAGAATGTGGTAGAAGGGAGACAGAAAGAATAAGAACCACTGAAGATTTGGAACTAAATGATAGGTATGATGGGAGAGGCAAACCATCCTGTAAGGCAACTTTTTTGTACTCTGTGGAATAATAATATATCAACAAGTCACATCAGGTGAGAAGTCATCTAGTAATGGTCAGAGAAAGAATAGAGGAGTGGTGGTAATTGGTGACTACCTGCTGAGAGCTACCAAGGCAGCTATCTGTAGATCTGACAAATAAAAGAAAGATTTGTGTCTTCATAGAGGATGTATCCAAGACCTGTCAAACCTGACAACCACTACTACCTCCTGGTGATTGATGAGGGGACAAATTATACCACCAGTAGGAACCTTGGTAACATTGCTAAAAATCTATGAAGTCCTAGGCAAATAACAGAAGACTGTAGGGTCACAGGTAATGTTTGCATCAGCAGAGCCAATTAAAAGAAGGGACTTTGAAAGAAGAAGGCAGATTTCAAAAGTGAATCTAGCTAATAAGATTATGGATGAGAATTGGATTTGTATTTTTGGATCATGGCTTAAAATATAAGAATGAAGAGCTCTTGCCTAGGGATAGCATCAACCTACCTAATGGAGGTGAGGGTGGGGTTGGTGGTAAAAATATGCTTGACAAATGTCTTGAGAATCTGATCAAGAGGACTTAAAACTAAGAAGGGGGAGGGGGAGAACTGCCCAGGTATATCTGCCAAGTCAGATACCATAGAGAGATATAAGAATAACAAAGGAAGCAGAAGAACTAGTAATTCATAGGTAGTAATATCAAAGAAAAGCAACAATAATAAAACCTTCAGATGTCTATATATGATTGCATTGAGCATGGATAACAAAGAAGGTGAGCTAGAGATGAAAAGAGGAAAATGTGGCTTCATATGTAGAACTGAGACCTAGTGGGATGGGACCTATCCCATGACTAAAATGTGAATATGGAAAAGTTTACATTATTTAAAGTCAATAAAACAGCTAATTGTGTTTGTGTACGGAACACACACACACATACATACAAACATTTTATATATATATATATATATATATATATATATATATATATATATATATATATATATATATATATATATACAAATGAAAAGGACAATAAAATGAAATTGAATTGCAATATAATTATAATGTCAAAGTATGACTCAGGAAAATAGATGAGAAAATGCACTCGCCTCCATTTTTCATAGAGGTGAGGGACTATATGTGTGGAACACTGCCTGTACTATCACACATGACTAATATGTTGGTTAGTTTTGCTGAACTGCTATTTTTTTTCTCTTTCTTATTCTTTGTTACAGAGAATGGTACACTGAGTAAGGAAGGTGGGAATATATATTCAGAAATGAAGGTGCAGAACTAAAATGATATATCTTTATTAATTTTAGGAAAGTTGTGATGTACTAAATAAACAAGATTTTTAAAAAGAATAATGAAGTATCATTGTATATTAAGATATACTCCTGTAAGGAAATTCAGGACTTGAGGGGGAATAAGATAGAGAAAGCATGGGAGTAAAAGTTAATGAAGGGTAAAATAGAAATTATATTGTGAACTACCACAGGCCACATGGACAGGAAGATCAATTCAAATTAGTTCGGATCACAAACCTAACACAGAGCAATGAATGAGTAGTGACTGAGAGCTTTAACTGTCAGATATATTTTTATCTCTGTCTCGCTACTAAAAACACAGCAGTTGGAGAAAATCTTGACTTGTTGCAATTATGATCTTGTTCTGCAAAAGATGGAAGAAGTGACAAGGGGGACTGCTTTATAATTCTGGACCTGATTCTGATCAACAAGAAGGAAGTAGTTGCTGAAGTTGAGACAACGGGAACCTCGCCTACAATTAACTGCTTCTTAGAATTTATGACAGGAGAGGAATGCCAAATATTATATGGAACACTATATGTTGGGAACACAGATTTCAAAGACTTCACATAAATGATAAATAGCAGGTGAAAATTCTACAGGAAAAGTAGCTCACAAAAGGATGACAGGAGCACTCAAAAATGAAATTCTGAAGATATAAAAATGATGTCTTTCTTATTGAGTCATGTCTAATTCTTCATGACCTCATTTTGGGGTTTTCTTGGAAAAGATACTGGAGTGGTTTGCCATTTCCTTCCCCAGCTCATTTTACAGATGAGGAAACTGAGGCAAATGGGATTAAGTGGCTTACCCAGGGTCACACAGCTAGTAAGTATCTGAGTCCAGATTTGAACTCAAGAAGATGAGTCTTCCTGTTCCCAGGCCTAGCACTCTATCCAGTTGCCACTCACTGCCCTATATAAATGGTGTCTAAGAGGAGGGAAAGGGAGAGCTGTCTAAGAATATTGATGTGGCTGCACAAGGACATCCCTGACCATCTCAGATTTAAGATGGCTTGTATAACACATGGAAACAAGGGAAGGCAATGGAAGATAGCTAAGAAAGAATAACACAGTCCTATCAGAATCATGCCTAGAATGCTCAGACCAGCAAGGAACAGCAATGGTTCTAAGCAACAAAAAGGAGGGGTAGGTTTTGGTGAGGGTAAACACTTTGGGGAAAATGTGAAGAATAAAACATGGATAGGACTGCTCCTTAGAGGGTGAAGAGAACAATGATAACATGGTAACAAGACTAGGGAGTTGTTCAACTCATTTTGCTTCAGTTTTCTCTTCTAAGGATATTTCAACTAGGAGGAACAAAACCAAAATGTGTAACATGAAGTTGAAATATGAGGTAAATAGGGCAAATAAAAGGTCTAGAGAAGTATCTAGTTTCCCCCTAAACAAATTAAAATGATCAGGCATTAATATACTACACATCCTAAGCTACTGAAAGAACTCGCAAACATTATTAAGATCACAGGATCATACATTTAGAGATGGAAAGGGCCTTAAAGCTCATTTAGTCCAATCCTTTTCCATACATGAAAAAGGTGTAGACCTAGCAAAGTGTGAGTTATGTGAGGTCATATAGGTAGTAAATGATAGAATAGGAGTTCAAATCCAGGTCTTCTGACTCCAAAATATGTCATTCTTACTGAGTCAGAGATCATGAACACAAGTGGGGCTATGGAATTTAAAGACCAATAGTTTGAGGAGCTGGGCTCTAATCTTGGCTGTGATTACTTGATTCATCTTTTGCTGGTCATTTCATGCTTCCTGGTCCTACCTCATCTGTCAAAGGAGGGGGCTAGACTAAATGAGGCCTCAGCCCCCTTCAAGTTCTAAATCTGTGGTCTTATGATTCAATTAAGTATTAACCTTCTTTTCAAAAACAAATGATTGTGTATATGCAAACTCCAGATGATTAAATTTGTGTTCTAGTCTTTCTAAAATCCTAATTATTAAAGCAATGATTTGTAAGTATTTGGGAAAAGAATCAATGTGCATTTAAGTTCTCCAAGAATAGGTCATGCCAAACTGACCATATTTACTATTTTGATGGAATAACTTTCAGAGTGGGTAGAATATCTAAGTAGGTTTTAGCAAACTCTTAATGAGTCAACAGAGGCAACCAACAAGGTTAATGATACTCCAGGCTACACTGAGAGAGGTGTCTCCCCTGGTCCTGCTCACCTTGTAAGCTATACAGCTGACCAGTGCTGTGCTGCCGAGTGATGTGCTGCCAATAGGCACTACGTGGGAGGGGCACCATGGTGCTGAGTGAGACAGCTCGCTCGCTCATCTTCATTTGGAGCTGTGGGGAGAAAAAGTTGGACATGAATGGCAAGGTTACTGAGAAGTACTCTCTACAAGAGTATAAATTACACCAAAGTAACATCTAGACCTGTTAAGATACCTCCAAGCCTCACTGAGTCAACTCCTCTCTGGCTTTGCAGATGAGGAAATTAAGCCCAGAGAGGTTGTGTCTTGCTAGATGGCTGGGGAAGAGTATCTTCAAATTTCCTTCCAGTTCTAAATCCTCTAATCCTATGAGATCCATAATTACATGAAGCAGCTTGGGCTTTGCCCCAATGCAGAAAATTTAGAGGTCATGAACAACACACTTGGAGAGTACTTGATCCACTCATACATCAGCCCCCTCCCTCACCTGCTCATCTTCACTGCCATGACTCATCACCCATGTGCCTCATCGACAGACTAGGAAGCAGCCTGTGACAGTGGGAAGAGCCCTGGTTTGCAACTTTGGACCTACAGGAATTGTGTTCATGTCCCATCTTTGAAGCTTACTACCTTTGTGACCTTGCAACCATGAGCTAGTTACATAAACCTCCCCAGGGCTTCATCTTTAAAATGAAGGGGTTGGATTAGATGGCCTTTGAAGTATCTCCAATTCTAGATCCATGATCCCAAGAGCCTACTCTTTCCCTTGTGCCCATCTCTACCCAAATTTCTGACTTATTACCCTGTCCACCCTATGTTCAATATCCTCCCATTCTTGTCCTGCCCACGTGGCAAGTGATAGATGCACTTCAAGACATTAGAAACCTTGCGGGTTTTCAATGTCTACTTGCTCTCTCTAAGGCCACATTCCTGGTGAACCATGCGTAGGGTACCTCAATTCATTTACCTGAGGTAAAAATAGGCTTATTATGACTCCAGATCCTACAAGTCAAAGGCAGGTAGTGAGTATATTTACAAGGAAGTCTAATGCTAATTAAAACATAAAAAATGCATAAGATAAAATACTACAAAACCTATCATTATGTTAGCTCCCAATGTGACAGTCTCATTAGGGGCACAGAGCTAAAGCATATGAAATAACCAAAGAGTAATCAGTGATGGTATACAATCAAGTGCTGAGTGGGGTAGCACCATTGCGGAGTAGGTGCTCAGAAAAAAAAAAATTGAAGAAAGAAAAATGGACCCGGGGGGTTGTCAGTGTTTGAGGAAATATTCGTGGGGGATTTCTGAACCTTCACTAGATCTAGGCCTTAAAGGAAAAGCATAGATTTGGATGAATGACAAGAAGAAGGGAGGAGATTACATGCAGAAAATGTATGAAATAAAACATGAAGGTGAGATTTAGCATTAAGCTGGAAGGAAACTCGAGATAATCCAGTCCAAGCCCCTTGCCTTCAAGGCCACTGTGATATCCTCCATTCTTCTCATGATATCATATAGTAAACTGAACATAGTTATGAAATGGAATATTCTGATTACATGAGTATTCTGATTAACTGGCAGTATTGCAGATATGCTAATATTTCCAAGTGAAAATCCAAAGCTTATTATAGGTTCATGATTCTGACCTATTTATTCTGGAAAGAAGTCTTTAAGGAACAGCTGAAAATAAGCTCAGTTCAATACCAAATTACCCAATAGGTATGATGGGCATATGACAAGGAGTCCCCAAGGAAAGCAGAATTGAAGTGCTTACAAAATGGAAGTCAAGTGGGTTTCTGCTCATGGAAACCTTGCTCTTTAATATGGTTTGCAAATCATTTGTTTACACATTGGCCATGTTCTTTGCTCTCTCTGCCTTCTACCCCTCAGTCATAACCTTACAGTCCCTGGGCTTCAAGCGATAATGTATAAATTCTTTGAAAAAAATGTTCAGGCAGCTAAGTGACACAGTAGATAGAGTACCAGCCCTGGAGTCAGGAGGTCCTGAGTTCAAATCTAGCCCCAGACACTTATTAGCTGTGTGACTCTGGCCAAGTCACTTAACCCTGATTGCCTCAAAAAAAAAAATATTCCCTGGCCTGTCTGGTATCCCTAGCCACCATGATGCTGAGTTACACAAATCCCTGTGCTTTGAATGCGTCTCAGTCACAGAATTTTAGACTTGAAAAGGGCCCTAATGACCATCTAGTCCAATACAAACTGCTAAAAGAATCCCAACAATATTCTCAACTATTCCTATCCAGCCTTTGCATAAAGACCTCCAGGAAGTGATAACCCACTATATTCTGAGGCAATTTCTTATACTTTGGGACAGCTCCATTTTAAGGAAGTTTTTGGTTTTGTTTTGTTTTTCTCTTACATCCAGACAAAACTTGCCTCTCTGAAACTTCCATCCATTGCTCTCAGCCCTGCCTTCAGATTCTCTCTTCTAACCTATGCTATCCAATGGGGAAAAGAGAGGTAAGAGAATGAGTATTTAGTAAGGGCCTATTGTGTGCCAGGCCCTGTATTGTTGGGAATGTAATGTACTTTACAAATGTCATCTCATTTGATCTTCACAAACACCCTGGGAGGTAGGTTCTATTATGATCCCCATTTTACAGTTAAGGAAACTGAGGCAGACAAAGGTTAAGTGATTTTCCCATGGCCATACAACTAGTAAGTGTCTGTGTATGGATTTGAACTCAGGTCTTCCTGACTCCAGGCCCAGTGCTCTTATCCAGTATATCACCTAGCTGACACTAATCTGACATGTTATATTTTAATTGATTAAGGAGATTTTTATTCACATAATAATTCACTATTATTTTACACATCTTTGGTGAATACATTATTTTATTAATCTTTTAAAAATATTTAGTAATTTTCAACCTTTCTCAATTTTTCTCTTACTTAAACTTGTAGTTTCACACAATGACCTTCAATGAATTAGTCATTTATTGGTTTGATTAATTCCTGCAACTGGTGTAGATGACAACTGTTCCATGCCTTCTCATACCTTATCATCCATGACCATGTCCACCCTCTCTAGAGGGTCTAGTCATGACATTGGATTTCTTCCTTTGAATCTTTTAATACTTCCTAGGTACTATTTCAACCCATGGGCAGTGTATCTGCTACCTATTACTCTCACTACATGGTTAGGTCAATCACCTCCCTTTACAGTCATATGTGTTATGGATAATGCCTTTTGCACCACTTCTCCTGTACAAGTGATCATTAGCAATACATCACAGTCTGCTGACAGGCATCATGAGTCTTCACGTTGCCCTTCGAGCCAATTGCAATTTAGATTCTTCAGAGATTATAGTTAGTATTCCATGATTTGCAGTGACTACAAATACCAGGAGAATATTAGTGTCAAAGAAAACATGGGATTTATTGATGAAGGATGGCTGAACAAATTGTGATATATGAATTAAATGGAATAGTATTGTACTATAAACATGGTGAGTATGAAGAATTCCAAAAATAACATGGATAAATTTATATGAACTGATGTAGAGTGAAGGAAACAGAATCAGTAGAAGCAAAATACACAATGACTACAATAATGTAAATTGAAACAATATTAAAAGGCAGATGAACTCAGATTAAATAACCAGCCTTGGTCCCAGAAGACAGATGATGAAACACTGTTTTCCCTTCTCAGCGGAGAAGTGGAAGATAATGGATGTACAATGTTAAATCCATTATCACTCTTAGTTATTTTATCTATTAATTTTGCTTAACTGTTTTTCTCTATTAAAAAGGGAAGACTCACTAGGACAGAAGAAGGGAGGTACATCAGTAAATAATGACAATCCAAAACCCTCAGAGAATCACTAAGATATATATTGATATAGATATAGATATGTATGTATGTATGTATATATATATATGCATAAGCATATAGATGCATACACATTTATATGTATGTGTGTGCATGTGTATATACATATGTGTACATATATATATATATACATACATATGCATGTGTATATATAGTGTATATATAACTTGGGCACAATAGATGCAGTTTCTCAACTGTGATCTAACACTCTCACCAGCTATTTATTATTCTGTTCTGGCCTCAGCTCATAACTCATTGGATTGTCAATGCAATTCTTCCAACTGTATAGTAGAATTTGGAAAATATGCATTTTCCTGCATTTAGTTTCCCATCTATAGATTAGTATGATCTCTTTTGAGTGGCTATAGATCACACTGAGGAAACCTAACAGTGTTCAGGGTCTCAAAGCAATTGGCACAATGCCATTTGAGAACACAGTTTCTGAAGAACCTCACCATATATGTGGGAAATACCTCTCTCATTTGGACTTTACAGAGTATATTATCTGTGGTAGAGGTAAGTAACTGTGATGACTATATCTCTGGTCTTATACCAAGTTTAATAGTTATAGTGAGAGCATTAAACAAATTTATTTTTATGGTTGAATCTATAAAGCTATCCTGTATGATCTTACCATGTGCATGGAAGACACATGGAGTCTCAAGAATCTTGCTCTCTTAAGCTTTGTTTTTACCAAACAAATGCAAATTGATAATTATATATGAAAAAACAATAAGCAATGTTTTGTGTTCTATAATACTGATGCCTTTTTTTGCCTGTGAAGATACGATCTACTGTAGACAACAGTAGGAAAAAGCCTGCCTATTTCTTTCTCATGTTTTTATTAAGGACCTTTTTAAGTGAAGAAACCATTCTCACAAAGGTTTTATAGATAAATAAGTAGTATATGGATTAGTATTTACTAATAATTTACTTTGCCACTTTTTTATCATGTGTAGAGGTTTTTTTTTTTCTGTTCTTTTGGAATCTTCCACTTAAAGCTACCTTGAAAATGAATTCCTGAGTGCTCTTAAAATTATTAACACCTAAAGCACAGGTTTCCTTTACATAAATGTGTTTGATCTGGTCCAGCTCTTCTTGACTCCATTTTCTTGAGTACCACTCACATTCTGAGTACTAACATGTGGAATACAAATAGAGGTTCTACTACTATTGATGATCAGAACAGATCGCTATGGAAATTCTGGTAGAGCTGTACCATTTCACTTTAATTTCTTGACATCATTCCTCTTCATTCAGGTAGGACCACTGGCAAG